TGGGAGATTGTGATACCAGCTGCTCTGGTGAACCTTGCCAGACAGGATCACGAACGGTGGTAGACACCAGCTAGACGCGTTGACGCACTTAATTGTCGTAACCCACTTACGATTGCCTGGCTGTATAGCGACCGCTCTGCCAACTCTATCAGAGCTTGTGACTACCTTTGACGTGCTAGCGACGCCCATTGCGAATCCAGTCTCGTCAAAGTTGTAGATGTCTTGGTCTAGGACGCCGTACGTCTGGCGCGTCTCCTCTACTAGCTTAAACCAGGCTGTAATCGCGATAGGATCTTCGCAGGAGGCGCGCTGACTATGAAATCGTCTAGTCCACTTTGTCTGAAGCTCTGGCTGGCTCTGGATAAAGCGCGACACCCAGCATCTGCCAATAGGCTGTGGAGGTGGATCTTGGCCACGCGCAGCGAGTAGAGCGTCTGCCATCCGTCGCACGTCGATAATATGGGGCGGAAAGCCTCGTCGATCTAGCTCTATGATCCATTGAACAAGAGACTGCTCTTCGACAGCTGATAGCTTGCGATTGACGGAGGCTGTCTCTGATCGTGGCTTGGTACCGCGGAGGCGTCGTCGGAGCGTTGTTCGTGGAGCGTCGTATAGCATAGCAGCTTGGCGCTGGCTTACAACACGTTTTTCTTGAAGCGCGCGAGATGCTAGAAGAACTCTACCTTCACGAGAAGTCTGTACAGAGCGTTGTTGTCGCGGCATAGTGGTGGTTGTGGAGAGTATCGCGTCAGGTTTGGTGGGGTGGGCCACTTACTGATGTGGGCCGCTTACTGATAAAACACGTTATAATGTATGCTAGGAATTCCCACACAAGGCTGTATAGTTAGAGAACCTGTGTTCTTAACATGCTGGAAGTGTATGCTACAGCTTTATTATTAACTGTAAAGGTAAGCACGCTAGTAAGTGAGGAGAGTATACTAGTCGGACAGCGTCTTTCTCATGTTATCTTCCTCGCCCTCATCTTGTGTATAGACACGGCACAAAGTTCAATCATGCCGCAAGTTTACGCCGCACACAGCGCAATACAATATACCCGTTGTCTTTTCTGAACTCCGCATTCCCCACAAAATGTCGCTTCGCTCAGGCTCCCTTCTTCTTATAACAGTTTTCTATCGGAAGATAAGATGACTGTAGGTACTTTCTCTCGAATGAGGTATTCAATTACTCACGCGTGGTACCAGCCTATCGCTGCACTTCAAGCAGTTGCAATGCCCCAACTGTATAGTTCAATGCTTTCCAGTCCACAAATCAATGTGCTGTATCTAACCCCGGGACAAGACATCATCAGCCCAGAGCAATTTAGAGCATCAAATCCAGAGATATTGGCTACAAGAGCGGGTACACAGCTGCCAAAAATGCCACCATCGATTTTAGTAAGATACGGTACTCATGCGTCTCTGATCGAAGCCAATGACATGCTGTATGTGGCTGAGAGAACATCGATACCCATACCAAGACTGTTTGCAGCATATGCATACGGGCCTCTAGACCGAGACGTTGACGACTTCGGGAGTGTCTACGATACATACATCATGGAGTTCGTCGAAGGCGAGTACCTAGGAAAGTCATGGAGAAAATACACATCTACTGAGAAGCAAATGATCTCATCAGACCTAAAGAAGCACATGACAGAGCTCCGGTCTCTTCTCCCACCCGGCTACATTGGATCTCTGCATGAGGGGCCGGTCACTGATATTATATTAGAATGGTCTACGACTTCCAGAGGTCGGTCTCTACACGCATATTAGAGAGCCAATATCAATAGCTCTAATTAGGACTTCAGGGCCATTTAAAAGCGAAAGAGACTTTAATGCTACAATCATCGACACCTTCGTCGCCAAATCAAAAGTCCAGATAGGTCCCTACATCCGTGGCATGGTTAATGCACACAAGCATGGAATTGTCTTTACTCATAGGGACCTCAGACCTAACAATATTATTGTCAAGAATGGCCTTGTGGCAGCAATCATTGACTGGGAAATGGCAGGCTGGTACCCCGATTATTGGGAGTTCGCTAAAGTGTTTTATCTCGAAGATTTCACTACTGACTTGGCATCACATTTACTAGGCGTTCTTACGCCCCATTATTGTGAGCAGTTGATGCATGCCAACTTAATGGGTGTATTATGGTAACTAATAATGAAGCTGCCACCAACGAGTGGAGAGGTGGAGCGTCAATGCAATTGTAAATCCTCATGCACGCATACAGTGGAATTGTTTTGTGTGTCCAAAAATAGTCCTTAAAATTGACGTACTATGTGTGAACCTGGCGGGTGATAGGAGCCTGTTCAAGTTTGTCGATGTACATATTATTAAAAGTGATACCCAATTCCTCTTCGCGTAAAAAGATGAAATCAAAAAGATAAAATCGTAAATCATAGAAACAAATCAAAGGCTGACTCCTATCTCAATACAGTAGAATATGCCACGTGCCGCAATTTCCCGTGTCTCGTTAGTGTATACCGTGGATTTGGTAGCTTTAAGTGGCCAAGAGACGTGGTAGCATCGCCTTTACTGTGGATACACGGGTGCTTGGTATGTTGTAGGCCAGCAGATTGACTTTTGAAGACTCGCAAATATACTTTGGCTAGAGTTTGGTCTGGAAAGTCGGGATAGCCAAGCATGTATGTGGCGAAGCCGATATTGTGACCCCCTAGAGTAAGCTCGGGATATCCCGTTGAGCCTTTGGAGATGCCCAGAGTCCTGATAGAAGGTGATACATGTTTGAGCTCTAGATAGCACCCTGCTGCACACTAGTCTTTAGCGAGTTGCATCTCGATTGCTCCAGCATTGGAGGCTTGGAGGCTTGGAGACTGATGGAATACTGTATAGCAGAGGGGAGAGTATTGACAGACTCGGAACCGTGGCCTGGGACACTTGAGCTTGCGGCTTCTTGATGCTTGGCATAGGCCTTGTTGGCCTTGGGTCTGCTCGACTCTATGACTGTGGCCAAGGCAGCCCAGGTGGAAGAGTGAAAAGAAAGGTCAGCTGACGTCATGCAGGGTCGGGCAAAGACGGTACCTTGTCGCTGCGCGGGCGGAACATGAGACGGCGGACAGGCACGCGTCGAGGAAGGCGCGCCATGCCAAGGCGTTAATGCAGACGCGCCCGCCCGCCAGCCATGCAGCGACGCCAAACTTCCAAACGCTGGCAATTCCATCCCAGCCCATTGCAAACACACGCCTCCGCCTTCGACATGACCAACTTGGACATGCTGCTCCTCAAGGGGGCCTCTGCGAGCGATGCAGAGGAATACCTCCAGGAACTGCGCTACACCATTCTGACCAAAGGCATCCCCGCAAACAGTGAGGGCATGGTACGTTTTCTCCACCGCCGCCGCCGCCGCTCCCCGCGCGTCGGCCCCCTTTAGCCCCACGAATAAATAAGGGCACAAGTGTGTGTACATGCACCAGAGGGCCGCCGCGGCGGAACAGACGTCAGAATGTTATTTTATTTTTTGCCAACGGGACGGGACTAATGTGCCGCGGGCATTGTGTAGTCAGAACTGCGCATCTACATCTGGCTCATCCTGCTCAACGCGCCGCCGCTCCGTACCGACGTCTATCTCGACCTTGTCCGGCAGGGCGCGTCGCCCGCGCATGCCAAGATCCAAAACGACACATTCCGCACATTCCAGGGCGATCCGCTGTTCCGCCGCCGCGTGACGCAGAACAGCATTACACGGGTGCTCAATGCCGTCGCGTGGCGCCTCAACGATGCGCACGAGGCGCGAGTCAATGGGTGGCAGTCGCCGCCCACGCTGTCCGAGTTTGGCGGCAGCCCGGATACGTCGACAATCATGTCGCGGCACTCTGCGACAACGGGCGGCGCCCGCACCGAGGCGTCAACGACCAACGACGCCGAGCAGATTGGCTACGTGCAGGGCATGAATGTGCTCTGTGGGCCCTTTCTCTACGCCGCCCGCAGCGAGGTCGAGGCGTTCACGGCCTTCGAGAAGCTCATTACGCACGAGTGTCCCGGCTATGTGCGTGGCTCCATGGAGGGCGTGCACAAGGGCTTGGCTCTCGTCGATAGGGTCCTCGAGGTGGTCGATCCAAAGCTGTTCGAGCACCTCATGGCCCACCACATGGAGGCGAGGATCTACGCCTTCGCTTCGGTGCTTACCATGTGTGCCTGCACGCCCCCTTTGCCCGAGGTCCTGCAGCTCTGGGACTTTCTTTTTGCTTACGGCCCGCACCTGAACATCTTGTGCATTGTGGCGCAGCTTGTATTGATTCGTGCTGACATCTTGAACAGTCCGAGGTAAGGCTGATCCCTTCCCTCCCGCCCTCTCCTTCTCGCCTCTTGCATCATAGCGCTGACTTTAGGGGGCTAGTCCAAATACCATCCTGCGCAACCTGCCCAGCCTGAACGCCCAGAAGGTTATCGGCGTGGCTATGAGCTTTGCCGGCAAGATCCCAGAGGACATGTATGCCGAGATCATCAACCACGCCAAGTGAGCTGGGCAGCAAGACGCTGGAATGCGCCATGACATGGCACTTACGACTAACGATTTTGATGACTGAACGATACCCACTCAAGGCGGAGCCTGAAAAGCATAGCGATACGCAAACACATGATGGTTTTTCACTTGTCCATTGCTTTGGTTCGTGCAGCTCGTTTTTTGTTTTGGACGCAAGATGGCGATACTACTACATGATTAATGGATGAACGAATCAAATACCCCTATCAACAGTTCCTATAAGCATTCAAGGAATATCAGCGTCGTCGTCGTCTCCGCCAAAGCCAAAGCTGAATCCCCCGGCTTCTTGCGCGTCACCATCTCCCTTGGTCAACTGTTCCCACTTCCCCCTACTCTTCGTCTTCATCTTGTCCAGCTCGGCGAGACCTTGCTCGAGGAGGTCTGGGTGCTGCTCACTCAGCTTTTGCACAAACAGCTCATATGCCCGGTCGCAAACGTCTTCGGTGAAGCCACTCACTTCGGCTCTCTGGTCGCGAAGGAAGCCTAGCACGTCCGGCAGCTTCTTCCGTGGGACGAAATTCTGCGTCAACGCCAAGCTATCTTCCAGGTTCAGCACTAGGTGGAACCAGCCAGAGGGTACATGCAACACTTCGCCCGCGTAGCAGATGCCCTCTCTGCAGCCGGGCGTTTGGCGAGCCAAGTCGTGGAAGGTCAGCATGTACTCGGCAATGCTAAGTGGAGATGTAACCTCAGACTGGTCGTCCGAGACAATGACGCCTGGCGGAGGTTCAATGCCCGGACCGGCCGGGAACATGAGCCAGTACTTGCTGCCCGTGAGAACAGCGTTCCAGGCCGAGGTGGCATTTGGGTCTTTGTGGAATGTCGAGCCACTGCGCTTTGGGCCCATGATCATCCAGCGGCAGTCGGGGCGGTGCTCGCCGAGAACACTGAAGAGATCATCGCCAAAGCACTCCGGGCTCCAGTATGCCGCCTCGCTCGAGTGCGGCGCTGCTGAAGTGTCGATGCCAGTCTTTTCCGCAAAGGCGCGGTCAAACAGGTACAGAGGTGACTCGTCGGCACTATCGCCCATGTACGGCATGTACTTGTTCATGGGCCAGTCGACCGCTTCCGCCCTGAACTTGGTTTCTGGAAACTTCTCGAGCAGGTACTCTGGTGTCCAGGTGCCGTAGACGGGCCATTGCTTGACCGGTGTGGTGAGGATAAAGGGCTTGTTCACCCAAGCCTCGGCATACTCTTGGTACGTCAGATCCGACAGGCGCGCAATTTCATTGTGCTTTGGGATATTTTGTGCGTAGGGGTTGAGTGGCGTGTGAGCGCATTGAAAAGGGCGGTACAGCGTGTCTGAGAAGAGGTTTGTACATGGAATCGACGTGACGTGCTCCTTGGGTATCTTGAGATACGTCGCTCGCCAGGTTCCGCGCCACTCAAAGTCGTCGGCTGGAGAGCTGCTTGCTAATCAGTCGTCGCTTGTGTTGGGAGACTCCATGTGCTGGTTTGGAAAAACAAACGAAAGGTGAAAACATCGGTGTAGGGAGAACATGTGCTGTCCATGCGGGTTTGCTGTCAAGACTGTTGAACTAGTACTGTGTCGCGGCTCACCGCCGATCGTACATCTCGATCTAATACGAAAGGCAGGATGCGTGAGAATAGACAAGGAAATAGGAGAAATGTAGAAGTTGACTGTATGTAAGAGAAGGATTGGGTTGAGTCGGGCTGCTGCTCGTGCATTAGATTTGGAAATGCGGCATGGCAGGTTACAAGCGTGTGACGATGAGGCGAGCAAGCACAGTCATAGAAGACGGAGTTGGCGCGGTCATGCCCACGAATCCTGCAAGGATGGATCCTTCATGTACATCATGTACATCATGTGATGGAAAACGGTAATGCAACATGACTGGAAAAGGACAGAGGGCGAAGAAACAGTTCCGCGTATGGCGACCGTGGTACTTACTTGACGAATAAGGCTCTCCACAATTCGTCCAACCTGGTGTAGGCATACAGCGCACGACAAGTACTGCCCAGGCGTACTAGAACATCAGCTTCGAATGACTCAAGAATGTGGCTGAGCAGCTCATCGGGCAGGCAGGCAAAGAGGCCGCATCTCGACTTGATGTTCTCGCGGGCGGTATATGCATTGCCGGCCGGCTTGATGCCCAAGGGATGTGAGGGGACCGCGGCCGCTGCAGCGACTTCTTCGTCGTCGTTGTCGCCTGTTGCCACTGCACCTGTCTTGAGCTTTTTCGAGGGCCGTGATTCGGCAGTCGCTATGCCGGGGGGTTCAAGTATGCCGGGGGCCATTTTCTGGATGAGGCGGCGGGACCGTGGTTGGCGACTGCGCAGCGCACAAGTTTTCACGGGCGCCAACAACGAAGCAAGATGCAGTTAGGAATTCAGCAACAGGCAGCGAAGAAAATGCGTGGACAGGTTGGGTGGCGGGTCCTTGATAATGCGGGAGACCAGGGCCAGTGCAGCGAGTTGTACGTCGTGCGGCGCTCCACGAGGAATTTAGCTTTTCTTAGCGAGTTTTTGGCGCTAGCAGCTGGGAAAAAAATCTCAGGTGGCTCCTGCTTATAACGTCGGCTGCCCGCCCACCTTCTGTCCCTCATCACCACCAAATCCGCAACAACACCCACAGACACATTTCACCTTCTAGATACCCCTTTCGATTCTCGCGCAGAGCATCTGGTATCTAGTTTTTTTTCTTCTACAACTTGCACACGCACCGCGGCGGCATCCAGAGGATCCCCCCGCCCTAACCCCGCTACGAGCAACTCTTCGACTACGGTCCAGCACCAGTAGTCGCTTTTCCAAGTCGCAATCATGGCTGACAAAGGTCTTGAGGATGTGCCCGAGGGTGAGTTTTTTTCCCCGCTGTTGATGTCGCCGCCGCTTCAAAATGCGACCCCCCCGCACGGCGATGGCGATGGCGACGGCGACGACAGCGCCTCACTGTGGTGGGATGTCTGGGAGCATACGCTAACGCATGCGCAGGCCAGATCGAGTCCAACTACGATGAAATCACCGACTCCTTCGACAACATGAACCTGAAGCCTGAGCTCCTCCGTGGAGTCTACGCCTACGGTTTCGAGCGCCCCTCCGCCATCCAGCAGCGTGCCATCATGCCCGTCATCAAGGGTGAGTTTGCCCCCCCCCGCACACACACAAAACGGCCCATATCACAAGCAAAAAACTTGCCAACTGACACATGAACCAGGCAACGATGTCATCGCTCAGGCCCAGTCCGGTACCGGTAAGACGGCCACCTTCTCCATCTCGACGCTCCAGAAGATCGACTCCAACGTCAAGGCCTGCCAGGCGCTTATCCTTGCCCCCACCCGTGAGCTCGCTCAGCAGATCCAGAAGGTCGTTGTTGCCATCGGCGACTTCATGGACATCCAGTGCCACGCCTGCATTGGTGGTACCAGCGTCCGTGACGACATGAAGGCTCTCCAGGACGGTCCCCAGGTCGTTGTCGGTACCCCTGGCCGTGTCCACGACATGATCCAGCGCCGTGTCCTCAAGACGGACCACATGAAGATGTTCGTCCTTGACGAGGCCGATGAGATGTTGTCTCGTGGTTTCACCGAGCAGATCTACGACATTTTCCAGCTTCTGCCCCAGTCCACCCAGGTCGTCCTTCTGTCGGCCACCATGCCCCAGGACGTGCTCGAGGTCACCACCAAGTTCATGCGCGACCCCGTCCGTATCCTCGTCAAGAAGGACGAGCTTACCCTCGAAGGTATCAAGCAATTCTACATTGCTGTCGAGAAGGAGGACTGGAAGCTCGACACTCTGTCCGACTTGTACGAGACCGTCACCATTACTCAGGCCGTCATCTTCTGCAACACGCGCAGAAAGGTCGACTGGCTCACTGACAAGCTCACTGCCCGTGACTTCACCGTCTCGGCCATGCACGGCGACATGGACCAGGCCCAGCGTGATGTCATCATGAAGGAGTTCCGTTCCGGATCTTCCCGTGTCCTGATTGCCACTGACCTTTTGGCCCGTGGTATCGACGTCCAGCAAGTGTCGCTTGTCATCAACTACGACTTGCCCGCCAACCGCGAGAACTACATTCACCGCATCGGTCGTGGTGGACGTTTCGGACGTAAGGGTGTCGCCATCAACTTCGTCACTGCCGACGATGTTCGCATGATGCGCGAGATTGAGCAGTTCTACAGCACACAGATTGAGGAGATGCCCATGAACGTGGCTGGTAAGTACCCCGCAGGTCGTTGTATGTCATCAGGCTCGGTCGCTAACAAGGCTCGCAGACCTCATCTAAGAAGCTGTTCCCTACTGCATTCAACCTGCCGCCTCTCCCTACCCACTGACGTTCACGTGGCGTAACGGTGTAGAGGCGGTGGTCTTCTAATTCGAGCACGCCTGCAAGGCCAGGTGTTGCTCTCTGTTTGGTCTGGTTCAAAAGTGGTTCGGGGTGGGACGGGTAGCCGTCTCTACATCGCGGCATCTTGGCGTTGGTCTCTCATGTGCGAAATGATTTCCCTAAAAGAATGTCTGCATATGATAGACTCACGATGCTTAGTTGATGGATGGGTCTTTTTCTGCAATTTCATGCTACTTTCCTATGTCACGGAGGACCTGCTGCAAGTTGTCGGCGCGTGCTTACGCAGTGGGATTTGCAGCAACGTTGCATGGCCACGCATGCGCATAATAACGATCGGGAGTTTCCTCTCATATAGAGATGCGATTCAATTGTACGAAAGTTACTGTAAAACCCGCCTGTGCTGTGCTGCCGTGGTGATTTGTCAGGGCTGCAACGATGACAAGCAAAGTTTGCAGTCGAGTCTGGCTGTACAGACGGGTGTTGTTGTTTTGACAAGTAACTTGGTTTAACAGGTGAGCCAAGGCAGCCACACAGGCGAGAAACGTGCTGGGCTTGTCGCAGAGGCAAAAGTTCGCCTAAGGAACATCGAACATTGATAGCCTCGGCTCAGTGACATCAACCCCACCCGGCCTTGAGCTGTCACATAGACGCATCTCATGAGAGCGACAGCATGGCTCGCGCAAAGCAAGGCTATTGCTAACATGGCGCTGTCGCAAAGATCTATCGTATGTCGCGCTGTGACGTGTGCTCGCCTTTGTCCAGGCCATGACTGCTAACGTGCCATGATAGCAAGCGCTGGGCCGGCTGCGCAATTACAAACCTCCAGCGACACAGTGGCACAACTGTCCACTTGGTCGACGCGCTGCAGTCCTGATACTACTGTTCCCGGACAGGCGCGGCGAGCTCAAGGTTGTTCTCACGGTGCGGAGCGCGGAACTGAGGAGCTATTCCGGGCAGGTAGCGCTTCCTGGAGGTATTGCCCTCGATGATGGTTACGGCTGCGTGCGGAGAGAAGGGATTCCGAAATGCCAAGTGCTGACGTTGCCCAGGTAAAGCAGATACACTGGAGGAATCACCTTGGGACATTGCCCGCCGCGAAGCTTCCGAAGAGATTGGCCTCCCACTGGATGACGCAAAACTTGGGGGCTTCAGTGTAGAGCATCTATGCGAGCTCCCTACCAACCTGGCCAAGACGGAGTTGGGCGTCCGGCCCTGTGTTGCGTTTCTGGGCCCAGCTTCGTCCGAAGTGGGCAATGCATCTGTTGAGGAGAGATTAATACCTCGCCTGGACCCGAAGGAAGTAGCTGCTGTGTTTACGGCGCCGTTCCACAATTTCTTGCGTACAGAGTGGGAAGGTGATGGGCCGGCGCCTGTGCAAAAAGACGGACGACCAGAGAAGTGGTATAGGGGCTCTTGGACAGACTGGCACGAATCACGGTGGCGAATGCATAACTTCTACATGCCGAGGACACCCTCTTCGCCGCCACTGGTGCGCAAGCCGTCTCGCACAAGGCCGTCGCCTTTGTCCGAGGGAGCGGCGCCTTCTGGGGAGGATGGCGGGGCGAAACAAAGTGCAATAGACAGTCTCACTACATTCCGAGTATTTGGAATGACGGCTAGAATACTGGTTGACGCAGCACGGGTGGCCTATGGCGAGGAGCCCGAGTTTGAGCATAACAGTCATCACGGCGACGAGGATATGATGGGGAGGCTACTAAAAATGGGCAGACTGAGCGAGGTTGGGGTCAAAGGCGAGGTATTGAGTAAAGAGGTGCTTAGACAAGCGAGTAAGATGTGAGACGTCTGCAATATACGAACCGTCAGGCCTTTTTGCACGACAGCTTACCGCGGTGGCTTCGAGTAGAATGAGGGCTGTTGCTGGGAGGGCCGAGCTGCGACGAATGGGCCTGGGCGTCGGTGTTTGCGAATGCGTTTGGGGCATGCAGGCGGTGATATATTGAGCTTGGGCAGGTGTGCGTAGATAGACTGGGCCCTTGATAGCGAGACTGGGTCCTGGGTAGGGCGGCGGCGGCAGCGGTTGTCTAACGTACCGAGCCCGCCGGCGGATGACGGGGACGGGGCGCCAGTGGGAATGTCACCTTCTCGATTGGCATGCTGTGTGTCGACGGTGGGCGGTGGCCAGGGAGCAGGCTGAAACAAAGCAGTAATGAAGCATAAAAAACACTCTCGGGGCTTGGGGCGCTAGAGTAAGCCGAGAGCAGGAACGCGATGTGCGTGCCATGGCGCCGTGCGAGAGCCGCATGCTGGCCACGGGGCCTCGCGCGCGCCGCCGTGGTCGACGAGTTGGTGGCAGGGCCGGATCGTCAGGTATCCATCGACTACTTGTACTTGGTTGTTATGCAGTCGGAGCAGCGCAGGAGCAGCGCCAAGGCGCACGTGACGTGAGGGAGGGATGCCCAAGGCACGCTGGTGCCAAGGCCGCGCACGGGTCAGCCCGTTCTCTGCCCAGGCCATCAGCCTCATGTTGATCAGCCTCCAGGGATAATGCTCCTCCAGCCCATTTGCCCGCCCACGCCCACGCCCACGCCCACGCCCACGCCCACGCCCACGCCCACGCCCACGCCCACGCCCACGCCCGATGCCCACGCCTACACCTCATTTCGCCCGCCGTCGCCTGTAGAGCAGCGCGCGATTCACACGGGCGCGGCGCACCCTCTCCGTCAGCAGCACCCGCCCGGCCGGCCGACACTGCCCACGGCCCGACTCGAGTCGCTTGCTGGCAGGCAAGACGTCGCACCTAACGCACCCGCTGCAGCGTCCTGTCTGGGCACTCGCTGCTCTGTATCTGCTGCCCGCGCGGGCAAAGCATCCGTTTCCATCGCCTCCGGGAGCTGCTACGCGCACGCAGCAGGGCGCATGCAACACCAGACGCATGTACCGTCGGCGCTATTCGCCACGCTCGAGACAGTGACATGGCCAGGGGCACCGCTTCTGCCCAAGAGAACGGCTGTAGCCGACCAAAGATCAAACCCAAGAGTGGAGCCAGTCCAACCCTTCTCTGGCACTCTTGAGACGAAGGTCCTAAGTTTCTTGGCGGCGATCTTGACCTGGCGGCGTCGCGCATACGCAAGCAGCGCCCGCCCGCCCTGAGTGGCCCATGGCCCTGGCTACACCCGTCATACACGGATGTGGCTGCGTCGGGCTCGAAATCAGCAGGCCAGTGCCTTTGGCGTTTGGCGCGTAAAGCTTGGTATCAAGCTCGACACAATTGGGTCCGCTTTACGCGTTTCGTCATCCGTTCCAAGCCCCCCTATTCGTATCGCGAATCACCGTCACTATACAACTTGAGCCGCATCTTATTTTCTACCTGCCAACCTCCCGCCCCTAGGTTCCGCCTTGGCCCTGGCTAGTGCATTCCGCACAGTCGCATATCACGGCGCTCCATATATGAGAACCCGTCAATGTAGGGTCCCACTGAAACCAGCAGCACTCACCCTTGCACAACGGAGTATACCCGAGACTGTCGTAGTAGGCTCCTTTGATCCTGCTGCCCTCGCGACATGCGTCAATTCCGTTCTAGACCTCGGAAATGTGGAGGGAACTCCGTTCGAGACAGACTTGTCGCGAAAACAAATTCCTCCAACCATGTCACACAGAGGCAATGGCTGCTCGGCCCTCAAGTTGAAAACTTTCCAGCTCATGCAGTAGGCGCTGACGACTCGAGGGTGCGCAAGCAACATAGCCACGCTCGACACTGACCATTGACTTGGCAGTCAACGCTTGACATTATTCGACAAAGAACTATCCCAAACGTCTTGGCACATCAGGCACTATCAGAGTGGAGCTTCCGCTTCTGGCGCGAGATGAAGCGAAGACAACCTCAGATCGTTATCTCAGGGTGTGTGCTTTGATAGCGGCCCAGAGCTTATTCGACATGCCAGTGGGGATGCCACGCCGACATACGCAACACCCAACCCACGCCAAGAAATCTCCGAACTTCTACAGTGGTCCTCGGGGCGCTTTCACTAGCCGCCGACTGCTTTAGTGCTCGGACGCTGTGTGGTTCGAAACAGGACCGACTCGCTCAAGGGCCAACCCATGCTGATCTTGCGCCCGTCAGGGCCGGTACACTGCTATAGTATCTAACACTGCCTCTCTAGACTTCCCTCGCATCGTCTTATTACTTGGTCACAAGACTCACTCCTTGCTGCTTCACGTTTCGTTTTCCACGCTTCCTCCTCCCTACAGACTTGCCGTCCTTTCCTTTTCGTCTGTCTTCCACGGTGCAGGACACCTCTACACTCACTACAGCAATGGAGAACTCGTACCAGCCCGCTGGGTTGTCTTTCGGCGACCGGGAGACCTACGCAAACGATCCCTACACGCTCGCTCCAGCTCAGCTCCCACAGCAGTCATTACCGCAGCAGCAAACACAGCAACAACAACCTCAACAACAACCACTACAACAACAACCCCAACAGCAACAACCCCAACAGCAACAACAATACCCTCCCCAGCCACCGCAGTCAAACCAATACGGCCTTCCATCTGGTCCTCGGATGCAGAGCACACACCAATCACAATATGAGTTCCCATTTGGATCTCGTTCACCTCATCACTCCCCTCAACCTAGCCAGGAGACGACCAACTACTCTCCATTGGGCGGCCCTGAGCAGCGACAGCAACAGCCACTACCACCACAGACCCCCATGCAGACAATGCCACCACAGACTCCCATGCAACCAATGCCACCGCAGACCCCTATCCAACAGCAACCATACCTACAGCAGGCATATCAGTTCCAAACTCCTGCCAATCCTCCACAGAACCCGTACTCCAATGGAACCAGCCGCTCTAACACATGGGTTCAAACGCCTGCGCCTAACTACCCTTCTGGCAATGGCTACTTCCCCACCATGGTAGACGTTAACGGTTACCCTGTTGATATGAAAGGCGCAAAGCGCGTGACAGAGAATCCTTTCCAGGATGGAGCCGGGCAGATGGACACAATCGATATCGAGAAAAACAAGCACGACGACCATTCAGAATGGGACAAGCACACCAAGATTCCTGGAAAGAAGGACCCGAACCAGCCTTACCTCACCTTTGGCCAACGGATAAAGCACTACACATGGGCCAACTACACCCTGACCATGGCTACTGGCGGTCTTGCTACGCTCATTGCCATCCAGCCACACGCCTTTCCTGGTCTCAAGATTATCGGCGCCGTCTTCTACATTCTCAACATCCTCTTGTTCACTGCTGTTACCATGACACTGATCCTCCGCTTCACCAAGTTCGCCGGCTCTTTCAAGGAGTCGATTGCTCATGAGCGCGAAGGTCTCTTCCTCGGTCCCTTCTTCCTGTCCATCGCAACCATCATCACCGGCACGCAGAAATACATCATCGAGTCTTACGAGATGAATCATCCGAACCGTGCTTGGGCCATCACTACCATGCAGGTGGCTTTCTGGGCCTACACGTTCATCACATTCTGTCTTGCAAGCTTCCAGTACTCGTATCTCTTTTGCCATCATACGTACAAGCTGACCAGCTTCATGCCTTCGTGGCTTCTGCCCATCTTCCCCATCATGCTCGCTGGTACCATCGCGTCTGTCATTGCCAAAGACCAGCCAGTCGAGTCGAGAATGCCGATTCTCGTGGCGGGCCTGGGGTGTCAGGGTCTGGGTTTCACTGTCGCTATCCTGATGTACGCGCACTACATTGGTCGCCTCATGCAGGTCGGATACCCCGACCGTGAACATCGAGGCGCCATGTTCATCGCCGTTGGCCCTCCATCTTTCACCTGCTTGGCTCTGATTGGTATGTCCAACGCGCTGCCCGACGACTTTGACCTGCAGGGTGATGGCCTTATCGACGCAAAGGTCCTGCGCACACTTGCTCTTGTTGTCGCACTCTTCCTCTGGGTACTGGCCATGTGGTTCTTCATGGTTACCCTCGTCGCTGTAAGTAAACCCGCATCCTTGTCGACTTGCATTGTTACTAACATGGTTCTCTAGGTCATCCACCAATGGGCTGTCTACTTTCACCTTGGCTGGTGGGCCATGGTCTTCCCCAACACCGGTTTCGTCATCGCTACCATCTCCATTGGCAATGCCTTGCGAGACGATACGGTGCTATATGTGGGCAATGGTCTCTCGATTGCCATCATCATGATGTGGTCGTTTGTCCTGTTCAAGCACATTCAAGCTGTTGTCGTTGCTGACATCATCTACCCCGGCATGGACGAGGATATTGCCGACCACTAAACCATACATACACTTTCCTATCCTTGTTTTTAGCGACCTGCTTTTATTGAGTTCACATCACTGTATTTTCAACACATCTTATAAAGCGCCGCACCATCAAAAGCAATGACGCTCTTTATACCCCATGCTTTCCTACATAGTTTTTGTTTTTAGTCGTTTCCCTGTAAAGCCGCAAGCTGGTCTCCACGCTTTGATTTTTCTTTCTTTTCTTTTTTCCCATTCTCCTTCCCTGTTCTATATAACTGTTCTCTGGAGCATTAGACAATTGGCGGAGATCACCCCTAATTAAGAACCTGTACTTGTTTGTCGCCATGAACTTCCTGTTTCTGCCCTTGCCTCTCTCTCTCTGCATAGCGTGCGCATCCATAGACTAAAGAAGAAAAAAGAAAAACAACTCGTTCGGGGGAGTTGTGCCCGGCAACGCAAAAAGTTGTTACAACTGCCTCGAACGAAGAAAGAAAAAAAAGAAAGAAAGAAAGAAACAAAGTGGATTCTGTTGTGGCGATGCCGGCTCTGGTGGTTTCCATGTATGTATACGGTGTTGGGTGGGTTAGGGATGTACAAAAATGGCTGACGAGGGGATCGAAATCTTTTTTTTTGGGTTCTGTACGTACAAATCTGCCTGGTTCGCTTTCTTTGGCAATTCAACAATAAGGAGAAGAAGAAGAAGAAGAAGAAGAAGAAGAAGAAGAAGAAGAAGTGATAGTATAGCCCTTCCTCTCTACCTCTTCACCTCTTCGAGAGGAGAGAGAGAGAGAGAGAGAGAGAGAGACAGAGACAGAGAGGAAGAGACAAAGAACAGAAAGTGAGAGAATCAAAGAACTGCAACCTGCACACGATTTCGCAACCTTTTATTTTCCCACGCCTTCCGAGTTCCTATATATCCCCCTTTTTTTTTAACTTCTTCTTCTTCTTCTTCGTCTTGGCCACGACGCCGCCACCGTCACCGTTGTCGGCGTAGGGACCTCGCACTCCTGATGATCGTTTTTTCCAAGCTGTTTCCCGTTTGGAAACCCCCCCCCCCCATAAAGGTGTGCGTCACAAACAAAACCAGCGTCACTTTTTTTTTCCAGCTCTGAGGCTGGCGGGCGTTGCAAGTCGCAAAACAAGGTCGCGCCACGCCGATAGCTTGCGAGGCGCTGACATTGCAATGACAAAACAAGGGCTCGTCACGATGTCGCTCCGCACCAAAATATCACACACGAGGGGTGTTCGTTCTGGCGCGAAGGCGGAAAGGGGGGGGGGGAATCCACACACACTCCCACACATACAGGCACATACAGGCAGGCACAGGCACAGGCGCCGCCCTCAGTCCGTCAGTCCGTCAGATGTCCTAAAAAAAGAGGGAACAAAGAAGATGAGTACGTAGCTAAATTCGCAACACGGGCTGTACCAAAACGTAATACACGCCTCTCGTCCTCGCCGAGTCCACCCGACCTTTTTCAACTTGACCAGACCAGCTTCCCAAGGCTTACGTACGGGGCCCCTGTCTGTCTCCACGTGCTGTAAGTAGTCGGCCAGCGACATGCCTTGTCCCCCCCCCTTGTCTGCTTCGATGGGCAAGGGGCGCAGAGTAAGATGGGGGAGCAGTGCTAAGAAAAGCGACAAGTTGGGCGTAGCAATCGTAAACACGTCAAACCGTCTCGGGGCCTGTACTTTACAGGACCCTGGAACCATACACACACACACATATTTGGACACATATTTGGACACATATTTGGACACAGACATACAGACAGTCAGACAGTCAGACACCCCCCCCCCTGGACCCCACTGTGTGTTGTCTCTCCCCCCAAACCCTTGCCGTTCTCCTCTCTCTCTCTCTCTCTCTCTCTCTCTCTCTCCGTCCTCGAGAGCGGAACCAAGTATGCATGCACCCAGGCAACCAAAACAGGACAGGCAGACATGCATGCATGCAAGTCAGGCATGCAAGTCATCCAAACCGCCGGGCAAGGCAAGGCAAAACAAGACAAGACAAGGGACCTCACTGGCAAGCGTAGCCGGGCCCCGGAATCCCTCTTCGCCTGTAACGCCGACGCCCCGGTACACAAGCCAGGCCAGTGCAGGATTCCGACAAAGAGGGGGGGGACATTTCTAAGTACAAGCAACGGTAAGCCCACCCACCCCCGCGTGCGCGCGCGCGCCTTGTGAGCAAATCCGCGTGTGTTTTTTTTAAATCATCCTTCGGGTCGCCAGGCTAGCTGATTGGCTGGTTAGCTGGGTACAGTAAGGGGGGGGGAGAAAAAAAAAGAGAGAGAGAGAGAGAGAGAAAAGGGAACAAGGGGTATGTGCATCAATGCGGACCCCCCCCCCCAAAAAAAAAAGAGAAAAAAAAGGCTTGCGTTTGTGCTTGTTGCTCCTTGCTTGCGCGACACTCGACGCAACACACCACAAGGGCTGCGGTGCGAGCGCACTTTGTTGTGTGGGCGTATGTGCGTGGAGTGGGTGGGGTTTGCTAAGTAGTGGGGGCATGGAGGGGGGGAGAGAGGTCGATTACACACGTCTACTACAGTCGAGCATGTTTCAACTTTCAACACATGAGGCGCGCGGGTTCCAGGGGAGGGGGGGTTACCTATACCTATACCTATGGCGGCGGCGGGTGGGTGGGCGGACGGACGGACGGACGGACGGGTATTTCTCGCCAAGAGGTTTCCTCGACGTTTTGAAGAAGAAAGAAAAAAAGGGTAGCAGAGACCTTGTCTTTGCCTATTGCGGAATGTTATTTTGAGCGGTGGCGCCAGGGGAGGGGTGAGTATGTGCATGCCGTTGCGGCATTTTGCAGCTGTACGTGTGTGTGTGTGTTGGGTCCAGGGAGGGTGCGTGTTTTGCGCCGTTTGACGTGTGTCTTGTGCCAAGGCCAAGACTTGGCGGAGTTTCTTGTGTGTGCGTATGTGTCCATGTGTATGGCATGGGGGGGCCCAGCGTGAAGGTTGACGTCGTGTATCGGAGAAGCGGGGTTCGGCGGCGATTGCGTGGACAGAGAGGGGAGGGGGGGGAGGCGAATGGCTCATTTCGGGAGGAGAACCACCCGGTGGGCGGTTGGTTGGGTGAGGGATACGCCGGTGGGGGAGAGGGGGTGGTGAAGTCGAGTTGCGAGGAGAAGGAGGAGAAGGAGGAGGAAGCGGAGGAGGCTGGGGGAGGGGAACGGAGACGGAGACGGAGATGGGGGGACGGGACGGGGACGGGGACGGGAATGGGGACGGAGCGAGGAGGGAACGGCGGGAATGGGAAATGGAGAACGGCGGGATCATGTGTACATGTAGACTGTAGAATGTACTGTAGTTTGCTCTCTCTGTCTGTGTGTATACACGCTACATACCCATACTAGTCATTGCGCTGTTCAGTCAATTCAAACAGCGTGATTTTGTTTTCCCAGCCGACCAAACCCTCCATTTGGCATTGTGGCGTTGCATGCGGGTCCTCCCTTTTTTTTTTCTCTTCCCGTCCCCCTTTACTACAAGCTACTCTTCAACCTCTCTTGATGCTGCATCTCCCGCACCAGGCGCAGCGCCTCGTCGAGCCCGCGCTTGGTGTTTTCAAAGTACAAGTGCGAGAACTCGCTGCTGGCCTGCCCGCTGATGGTGCGCGCCTGAATGCCGTGGCTGATTGTGCTTCCCTAAGTATATCCAATGTGTTAGCGAGTGTTTCTTTTTTCTTTTTTGTTTTTTTGACCCCATGTCCGGATGGAAACACTGCTTCGTAGCGACAGGAGAGAAACGACAAGAAGAAGAAAGACAAGGTAAATCAGGAAGTAACAAAGATGAGAAGAAAAAGAAAAACAAACCACCCTCATCAAATGAAAAACCTTTGCAACATCCCACCCATCGAGCCTAGGATCCCACCGCGCCCTCTGTGCATACAAATCCAGCAGCTCATCCACCCTCGGCAAGCCATTGCCCTGCAGATTCTCCTCATCATACACATTTCCCTCGCCCTCTTTCGCCGGCGCCATGCCAATCCGACTCGTGCGATTCCAGTACGGACCAACGACATACACGACGTCAGCAAGCGGATGCCCAATGGTGCTCAACTCCCAGTCTAGAATGGCGATGACGCGCGGCTCGGTAGGGTGCAGGATCATGTTGTCCAACTTGTAGTCGCCATGGATGATGCTGGCGCGGTCGCGCGGGGCATGCCGCCGGATGTAGTCGACAATGTCGTCGTAGTGTGGGTGAGCTCGTCCGAGTGGCGCGCCTGTCTTGACGTCGCGGACCTGGGCTTGCTGCGCCTCGATTCGGGAAAAGGTGGTGCAGTGGCGTTAGTAGAAGTCGCTTTTCTTGCGGAATGATGACAGCCCGATGGCGTCTGCGTCCAGCGAGTGTAGCCAGGCGAGCGTCGAGACGACCGAGAGCCAGGCGGCGCGTCGGTCTTGGATGGGCAGCGTCGAGAGCGTTGGGTCGGTGATGATGCGGCCTTGGACGAATTCCATGACCTTGTCATTGATTGTTAGCCCATGGCTTGTAACATGCTCTCCATGTTCGTTTGTCGAAACCTACATAGAATGCGGTGCCGATAATTCCGGCATCCATGCACAGGCAGTACACCCTGGGCACTGGAAACCCCTCGACGCTACCGAGTGCTTGGAGCACTTTGTATTCGCGGTCCACTTGGTGGGCCACGGGCGAGATGATAGTCCCGCTGGGCTTCTTCCTCAAGATGTAGCGCGTCTTGGCCGCATCGTCGACAAAGTACGTGGGATTGCTTTGGCCATAGCCAATCTTGGTGGACACGACGGGTACTTTGATACCGGGCATCTCTTTCTCAAGGTACTCCCCCAACCTCGCGTCGTCCAGGTCATGCCGTGTCTTCTCCTTTTGTACGTCTGTCATGGTACTTTACAATCTTCTTTTCCCGTTTGATGATTAGAATTGATTGAGCCCGCATACGCAGAACACATGCTTGTTTGAAGTAATGGACGAGTATGCTGTGTTGCTACATTAGCCTCGGCGATGTTCGTGAGGGGCCCGGAAAACGGATGGCGCTTGCCGGGTCCATGTACCCAACTATCGCTGACAAAAGCTTGATTAAACATTACCGTCATTGCTATCGCTTTCTATCCATTTGCGCAAAGTCAGGAACAAGACCAAACATAAAAACGAGCGAACATGAAATAGCAATAAGGCTGAATTGATCTCTTTTCAACTGATCGCGTCAGACGAGCATCCGTGTGCTCGGGGTATCCCATGAAAGCCAACAAGCAACGCCGAGAAGCAGGAAACGGTCCCTATCGTACAACAACAAAACAAGAAAAAGCAAACGGCCTCGAAACTACGAGGCCGTGTGCACGTGTCCCATTACACTTCCCGACAATTCATTAGTAATCACGCGCTCGCCTCACTCCCTTCACCACTACTAAAATAGCTCTGATCCAGTCGCAGAATCCACTCAATCTTCTCCCTCTCGCTCCTTGCACGGAAAATATACGTATTGGATCTCGCAAAAACGGCAAAAACGACATCCTTGTACACTCCTGCACTCCCACTTCCATTGGCACTATTGCTGTGTTGGTTATGCCCTCCACCCAGCAGTTTGGCAATCTGTGGAGAGTGGTCGATGCGTGCTGTGCTAATGTTGATGGCGTTGAGTTCATCACCGTCCGTCGAGTACAGGTGGAGATACGGCTTCCGTAACTCAACGTACCGTCGTGTCCAACGTGTATTTGTCGGGTCTGGCGTGAGAAGGTACGATGCCTTCATGAGATTTGGATTCTTGGGTATGAAGCGCACCGTAGCCGTCAAAGTAGGCGTCGGGTTTGGCGAAGGAGAAGCTGACCGTGGTGCAAAAGCGGCACCGTTTGTGGGTGGTTCGAGGTTCGTAGAATTGAGTATGACTTCCGCTGGGGCCTTCTTGGTCTTCCACAGTGAAATGATGCGTTGAAGGAGTTCTTTCTGTCCATCGTCCAGAGGCTTGTCCTTGGATCCAGGCGTAGACGTGGGTACGCTGAGGGCCTTGGGGGAGAGGACAGAGCGCGCGGTTTCGATTTCGGCCACACGACGACGGCGCTTTTCAACATTGATGAAATCACGCACTAGGGAGACACCGCGGGGCGTCCAGCCTGCGAGCTGCTCTTCGCCCTTTATGTAATCGTCTTTTGTGTTCATACGCCAGAGATCTGTTGCACGCTTTACAGACGTTGGGCGTATTGCTACGTTGAAGATTCCCACTGTTGAGTGAACAATCTTGACTGTATTCCAAATATTGGCGAGGGAAAAGAGCGACGTCGGACGCATGTAGGAGCGACCGCGGATCTGCACATAGAGGTCAAAGGAAAACGTCATTGGCTCAATGAGCTTTGCAGCCATGACATCGAAGAGAAGAGTGGCCCGGACGCGGAAGTTGTCCTTTGTCGCGCGGTCCAGAATCTGCGAGGCGTGTGCAGTGCTGTCCCATCGTCCAACAAACTTGACATTTGTTGTACCATCTGCGTTGTTCCGGACGAGGGGCGGCGAAATCAGATCGACTGGAACCTCCTTGACGGGCGAGCCATAGTTGGGGGCATTGCCTGCCGCATCGACCATCCGGATGTGACCCATACGCAGCGACTTGACGCCTTCCCATTGTATTGTCTCACCCGAAGTATGCGTGAGGTTCACAACAATGCGACGTGCTAGACCCTGGTGGAGCTGATAGACACCCTGATCCATGACGCTGCTCTGTGTGACCTCAACAGGCTGATACGTGCCATCGTCTGTGATCTCTTGAATCTGTATGCGAGCGAAGATGTCATGCGTGTCTTCTGTATAGAACTCGGATTCTGGTAGACGTGCATTGCGACGTTTCTGTTTCGGCTTGTCCGCCGAGTCGCGCATATCATCCCAGCTGAGCAGCATGTCGAGATGGATGTCGGACACCTTGGCAAAGATGGAAATCCGAAGAAACGTATCGCGTGGGCTCGGGTACGGAAGGCTCATACTGTGAACGCTTTCGAAACGGATAGGACTCTCATTGAAATCAGTAATCCACGTCGTAGTCGTTGCACCGCTCTCGTCTGATATGCCAGGGACGAAGAGCACAGCATGCACCTTTGTCCCCTCTCGCTCTGAAAACCCAACCATTTCATGCATACCAACGTTGAATTTGAGCGTTGTCGACGGTGCCTCGGCAGACGAAGGTTCTAGCGATAATCGGATGATGCCAATGGGGTTCGACGTATACGGCGAAATTACATCCAGGCTAAAGTCTCGCACTCTCGACTCGAACACGGCAGCCAGTGGCACGTCGACATCACCAATTCGTGTAAACTCGGGCATACATGGGTCGGAAAAGGGCGACTCTGGATTGAGGTGCTGAAAGAATTCCGGTCGATTCATGTACTGGTGCACTTGGTGCATTCGACGCACGCGATCGCGGAGTTTCTGTAACGACCATAGGTGGACGACCTCGTTTTTGAAATCAATGACGCGCACGCCGACGCATGGCTTCGACTGGGTATCGAGATATTCATCATCTTCCCCTGGAATGCCCATGTTTACCAAGTCGTAGGATGACGGGACTGTATGGCCAACGTCAACAATGCAGAACTGGAACACGACTCGCTTGTCCATTTGCTGGCTCATGACCTGAGCCTCTTTCAAAATGGCGGCATTTTGTAAAAGCGTCTCGGCCATGGTGACGTATTTCCTTCGCCGCCACTGCTTGAGTACCGAGCGAATCAGTTCGAGCTGTCGTTCGTCTTGTTTCTTTGGTGAGTTCAATGCCTTGATATCCAGTTCGGTGTCCATGTCCAGCGGAATTTCATGTCCAAGCTCTTTCAATTGGCGCTGAAATGCCTCCTTTTGCTCCTTTAGTTGCTTCTGCATCTGTTCCTTTGCAGCCCGTAGCTCTTCCAACTCCACCTTGGCCTCCTCATCAGCCTTAAGCTTGGACTGGAAGTCCTCCTTCTGTCGGTCTATCCGGTTCTGCATATCCTCTCGTATCTCTTGCATCTTTTCACTGCCCTCCTGTTGCGGGGTAGAAGGCATCGTCAGCATGGTATCGAGCGAGAAATTGTCCAGTGTGCCTCCAGAGGCATACTTCTCCCTGACCGGATACGAAGACATGGACTCTGTGTCACCTTCGTCGCTGATCATCCGACTTTCAGGTCGCTCAGGCCGTTCAGGCCGTGCTTTTCGCGTTTCGCGCAGTCTGCTGAGGTCTTCGTAGAGCGCCTCAAAATCCTCGTCTGGCAGATTTTCAATGCGTTTATCTGGCCCCAGCCACGCAGTCAGGGCCTCTCTTCGCGCATACGAAAATTCCGACTCTCGACCACGTTGCCAAAAAGCAGGCGACCCTGCCCTCGGACTATCTTGGTCAAAGTCGCTGTTGGCTACACTGATGGAGCTGAAAGATCTGTCATGACCGGGTCTAGGTGCGGGCGAAGGAGAACCGCCGAGCTGGCCAGCGGTGACCGTGTGTCGGAGGAGGCTCGTCCCTACTTCGGCGCGTTCAGCCCTTGCTTCTTGGGGGTTGTTAAAGCGAAAAATATGGAAGTCGCCCAGGATGATGCGATGGCCGCTCTTGAGCAACCTTGGCTTGTCAATGCGAACACCATTGACCATGACGCTGGCACTCTCTTGGGGTATCACCGTCACCTTGCCGTCGACGTTCTCAAAGTGGCAGTGCTCGGCAAGAATCTGGGCGCCGTTCAGACGGATCTGTGCAGTTTGGCCGTCGACATCAGAATTGCCCACCGTGGTGGTGCCTGGCTTCAGGTTGTAGACGAGGCATTCGGTCAGGAGCGGGTCGTCACTCAAGTTTACCAAATGCGGCATGTTCTTGGGTGTCGACAGGCCGACAAAGCCCTTTTCAATGCTGATTCCAAGCTCTTCCAGCGCAGCCTCCCTCTCCTTGTGGATTTCCTCTGTCTTTTGCAGCTTCTCTTCCCACGTCTGATTCAACTCGGAGTAGAGCTTCTCCGATTGATCCAACTGCTCAGCGATTTCGGCCTTGGAGACCTTTTTGGTTGATCCGTCGGCCTGGGTAATGGAGACCATTTGCTTTTCTAGCGGTGTGTCGGGTGGGTACTGTTCCTCCATGATGCCATTTGAGCCAGCTCCGCCGCCCCCACCACCGCCGCCTAATTGGGAGCGCAGTTTCGACAGCTCTTCCTTGAGTTCTCTGATCATGCGCGCGTTGGGGTCCTCGTTGACGACGGCGTGGTTCTTGATTCGTTTGGCAGAGTCTGCGTATCGAAGGGTCGAAAGCGTTTCCTCAAAGTTGATGTCGGCGGGCGAAATGGCAGCAATCATGGCCGTCATGCTGTTGCCTCCCAGCGAGTCTTTCAGAAGCCATGTCAAGATGGAGTCTCGGTATGGCACCTGGGCCTTCTTCTTGCCCTGTGACTGGTCTGCAAGCGCTGCAATGACACGACCCAGCGTCGATAGCGATCTGTTGATCTCTGCACCCTCCTTCAAGCGCGCGCCGGTTGCGCCCGTGGACTGGGCTCTTTCTGATCCTGCCAAGTCGACCAGACTAATCTTTGCCACTCTTTCTCCGCTCATGCTGGTCTCGACATCGTGGCGCTTCTGGGTCAGGGTGAGGGTGAAGACGGCGTGGGATCGCGAGGACGTCTCGTTCATGTTTGTCGCGGCAACGGTACGGGCCTTGTTTCCTTCGTCCATGAGGTTCTCAATCTCGGCAAAGGACTGGACGACGAGCTTGGCCAGGTCTTCGACGTAGGGACCGGTCGAGGGATGCTCTCGCACTCGCAGATTGCCCTTGTTGGAGGGATTCAGCAGGTCGCGCACGCGCTCGTTGTAGATTTCCAGGTACGAGACCTCGACGGTGCACGTCGAGTTTGTGTCCTGCTGCTGCAGCCCCTTGATGCGCTCGAACATGTCCTGGCAAATCTTGGGGATGATGCCGTACTCCTGGCCGTAGCCCATCATGGAATACGACTTGCCCGAGCCCGTCTGGCCGTATGCAAAGATGCAGTTGTTGTAGCCCTGGAAGGCATTGTCGAGCAGCGGCTTGCCCAGATCCTCGTGCAGGTTGTCCTGGCCGGCATAGTTGGGGGCGTCGCGGTCAAAGGACCAGTAGGAGCGGTCGAAGGCAAATGTCTTTGTGCCCTCGGCGGCAGCCTTGGCGGCCTTGCCCTTGATGTCGGTGTTTGAGGGCGGCGAGAGGATGGTCTGGTCGCCCTTCATCTGCACAATGCACTGGGCATTGCGCGCCTTTTCTGCTCGCTGTTAGCCGCAGCGACATGGGGAGAGCGTGTCCCGCGAGGCATACCTCGGCCGTTGAAGGGCCTGCATCGCACCACGACCTTGATATTGCCGCCGCCTCCGGACGCCATGGTGGGTGCGTGGTGTTGACTGGATCGCCGGGCAGAATCCGGGGTACACGGGAAAGGAGATGGCAGCGGGGGGCGGGTTGGTTCACAGCGAGCAGACGCCGAGTCTGCGAGACTTCATGGGCGGCGACGGGGCAGGCGAGGGGACTCGAGGGCGCGGGCGGTCTTCTTTTGGTGGCCTCAGGAGGTGGAGCATCCGTGTCTGGGGCTGAGGGGGGGAGCTTGTTGTGGTTGTTTGAATCGCGGTTCGAGGGCCAATTCGCAGGATTACTTACGCGATCCCTGCACCCTGCACTTCCACCACCGAATGGCTGTGGATGCGATGGAGCGAGCCAACCGCCCTGCGATGCTGCTTGAAACAATGCCGCCGCTAGCAAGAACGCGTGCGCCTGTTCGCATCGGCGTGCAGCGCGAGAACGGTAGCGGTGCAGGCGCAGGTACGGGCGCGCACACACAGGCCGGGCGGCCGAGGGGCAGTTTACATGTGTACATATTAAGACATGCCACGACTGCCTGGCGCCGTACCTGGAACGGAAGACGGGGGGGGGGGTAATCCCTGGCCCTGCGTCATTCCTCGACAAAATAATCCCACCACCACCACCACCACCACTGCCATTGCGCTTCACCCCACCACCACGACACAACCACGCGCCACCCACCACACGCACGCTCTCAATGTCCGTGCCAGACGCGGCCCTCGACATGTTCGCCCCGCCCGTCAACCGCGCCATGAAGGTGCTGGACCGCGGCTTCTTCCAGAAAACCATCCCCACCTCCGCCGCCCGCATCTTCAACCCCAAGGACATTTCGCGATGCCGCAAGGAGCTCACCGCCAGCAGGGACACGCTCCCCAACAATCGCGTCGACCCGGTGCGCCCCGACCCGGACGCTCAAAGAGCGCAGACGGGCGTCAAGTGTCTGCTGCTGCGCCCTGAAGTCGTCCATTCCGGTGAGTCACCCGCCAGGCGCAGATACACGCGCGTGCTGAGTCCTGAACCCAGGCAGATCCGGCTACATGGTCGCCTAAGCTGCGCGACCTCGAGCAAGACGGCACCCTGGGCGTCATCCCCTACCAGCTGCACCTCGACTACGACTACTTCACCTACTCGGAGATCACGAGCGCCACCATTCCCCCGCCAGAGTCCAAGCACGACGACGAGATACCCCAGGGCTTTACCCTCGCCGGCCATGTCGCCCACCTGAACCTGCGCGAGCGCTACTGGCCATACAAGCACCTCATAGCCACGGTGCTCACCGACAAGAACCCCATGGTCAAGACTGTCATCAACAAGCTGGACAACGTCGGCACCGAAAACGCATTCCGGACCTTCCAGTACGAGGTTCTGCACGGTCCCGACGACATGAACGTCGAGCTGCGCGAGCAGGGCTGCACCTTTAAATTCGACTTTGCCAAGGTCTACTGGAACACGCGTCTGCACACCGAGCACGAGCGCCTCTGCAACATGTTCAAAGAGGGCGAGGCCATATGCGACGTCATGGCCGGCGTCGGCCCCTTTGCCGTGCCCTCTGGCAAGAAAAAGTGCTTTGTCTGGGCCAACGACCTCAACCCAGAGTCGTACAACTCGCTCGTCGGCAACATCAAAACCAACAAGGTCGGAGACTTTGTCCGCTCCTTCAACACCGACGGCGGCGCCTTTATCCGCCAAGCCTCGGCCGACCTCCTCCAGACCCCAGAGTACACGGTCCCCATCTACCCCAAGACCAAGTTCTCGCGCAGCAATCCCCAGGAAAACAAGCAGCCCGCGCCCATCAAGACGCTCGTCCAGCCCCGCATCTTCTCACACTACGTCATGAACCTGCCCGCCTCGGCCATCACATTCCTCCCCTCCTTCATCGGTCTCTACGCCAACATCCCCGGTCTCCCTGCCGACCAAATCAAGAAGCTGCTTGCCCCCCACACTCAGCAGCAGCTCCCCATGATCCACGTGCACTGCTTCTCCACAAAGAGCGATGACAATGTAGTGGAAATCAAATCCATCTGCGAAGAGATCAGCAGACAGCTAGGCCATGAAATCACGCCCGATATGCCAGATGTCCACGTCCACGATGTAAGGGATGTGGCGCCCAAGAAGAGAATGTTTTGTGCTAGTTTTAGGCTGCCTGAGGAGGTTGCCTTTCGGCAGGTTGAAGCGTAGAATGCAAGTATTGCAGAGTCAAAGTGTAGAGTGAAAATATAGACAGGTTTGCAATGGATAGAATAAAAGTACAACTACCTACATGTACAACAACAGTACTCTTTCATGGCTTTGACCATGACTGCATTCCTTACACAAAGTCTTTTGCCATCTCCTCTACATACTCTATCTGATCTCATCTCATCTCATGACTTTGTTGTGTCATCGACCACCCGCTCACATATCCATCAACATTTCATCCTCGACATCCTCATCACCACCCGTACCTTCTGCTTCTTGCCCAGCCACCTCACTCTCCCTACCCAGTCTATCTTCCGCCTCGCCGCCAAAGGAAAAAGACAGCCGTCTATCAGATTCTGCTGGAGATGTCCCAATTTCATCCTGGGTTCTCGCCATGTCTTCTCCTCTTCCTCTTCCTATTTCCACCTCCTCGTCGCATCCTTCTCCTTCCCCTTCTCCACCACCTCCACCGCCACTCACCCTCCCAACCGCTCCCCAAATCTCCCTCTCAACCACCCCCCTCACACAAACCCCCTCCACCCCCTCATACAACCCTCCCAGCAGCCTCTCCAGTCTCCCCGCCCACACCGCCACAGCCCGCTCTGCAACATGCTCACCGACGAACGTACTATACGCCGTTTGCAGCGGAGCATCCCAGCTAAGACGACGTCCGTAATCAGTGGTACGTGCGTGTGTGAACATGTTTCTAGTGATGCAATCTAGGGTTATGTGCAGCGTGAGAATGGGACGGAGATGTTGTGGTGGGGGTTTGTGTTTGGACGTGTTGGGAGCGGGGTGCTTGTGAATGGTAGTAGTAGAAGTAGAAGCAGCAGCAGCAGCAGGAGGAGGAGGAAGAGGAGGAGGAGGAAGAGGAAGAGGAAGAGAGGAAGACTGGCTCTCAGATAAACGCGTAGTAGGTACATACGCAACACCAACAGCGTTGTTCTCGTGCGCACGGAAATAAGCATCTATATCCTGTCCGCTTTTCCCGCGTCTCGCTATCTGCGTCCCCATCGACGGTGCGCTCACCCGTGCTTGGTCTGGAGGATTGATCCGTGTAAAAGAGCTGTCTAGCGCAATGTTCCGGGATGAAACAGCCCTGTTTTGACGCGACAAGAAGGCACGGGTATCACTGTTGTTTTCGCGATTCACATGCTGCACTGCTGTTGGGTGTGCTCTGGCTTCTGGTGCGCGGCTTTGCGGTTGCGATGGGCCGGATGGAGGGAGATAGGGAAGGGTGGGAGGTGTAGTGTTGTTTTGGGCGCGAGGTGCGAGATATGGCTTTGGGCCTCGAGTTGGCTGTCTGCGGCGTTCAGCTCGAGCAGCTGTGCTTGCATGTTGTTCTGATGGGAGTGTCCAGGGATCAGGGGGTTGGGACTCGGGCTGGAGGATGGAACTCGGCGCCTCGGGCTGCAGTATAATCCTGTTTGAAACTTGGCTAGGTGTGGTGTTGAGTTGTTCTTCGGTTGAGTCGTCGATACTAGCACTTGCGACTGATGACGCCCGAGGTAGACGCTGGATGCTTCGCTCCAGCACCTCGTCCAACGCCCGTCTCGCAGCATCGCTGTTTGGACATGTCCGCGGCGTCAGAGGGTCTGCTGAAATACTTGGATTGGGTGTCGCTGGCCGTCCTGGAGAGCTAGAACGTAGAGTGATATCCCGATTACTCTTGGCTGGACTCGGGAGTTGCACATGGCTTATGGACTGCTTTGGTTTGACCGGGGCGTTCATCCGAGCAATAGTCCAGGGGTTAGATACTTCTATTGCTAGGCGCCCTTGTTCTTCCTCTTCTTCGATTACTGGAGTGCGGTGGTGCTGCAGGAACTCCAGATCATCTTCGTCGATGCCATACATACTGGATCTCCATTTTGGCTGTCCTTGAGATATTCCAGACGCAGGATTCTCAGTCTCTTCGTTGAGACTCTGTGATTGGGATGATGTATCTTCTTGATACTGCTCGGGTATATTGTCAGGCTGAGGCTCGTTCTGCAGGGTAGACTGTGAGTCGACATCATGATTGACGACAATCTCAGGATAGTATGACTGTAACAGCCTCTCAAAGACACCCAGAACCGCCTTGCCATCGTCAAACATGACATCGTCCTTTGCAGGCTCAATGTTAGGATCGTAGCTGCCTGGCGGACAAATTATATTTACGCAGACAAAAGGGTCCTTGATACCTGCAAGAGAAGGATTTACTTTGCGCAGTCGCTCCTTGTACGCACTAATCATTTGCTTGATAGTCCCACGACTGCTGGCAACAGGCCTTGCATCGATCGAGACAAAGCTGCCTTGATTCGCAATCTTGGGTCCGGTTGCCGTTGGTTTCGGGAGACAGGCATGGATCTCAAAGCCATTTGATTCTGTAACAGTCCAATCGCACTGATGAGCGCAATCCCTTCCCATGATCTTGAGGACCGCATCTTCCACATTGGCGTCAGCCTTGGGCGCGTAGACAAAGTCGCTGTTGGCATTCTTAGCCTTGAGAACGCGGAGGCGCAGTCGAGTGCCTGGCCTAGCAAGGGCATAAGCTTGCATGAGACGCCGAATGCCTGCAAGACACTTTGTCGCGTTTTTCGGCGCTGCCTGTTTCCGGACTGGAATGTGTTGGAAGAAACCAGTCACCTTTACCGTTGTCCCAACAGGATGCGAATCATGCTCGGTGCTGCATCGATTAGTCTTTCCAGTCCCGGCATGGGTACACAGCATGTGTAGACTTACGAATCTAGTTCGCCATTCCGACCATATTTTACCTTTACAGCAACAGGCTCGCCCTCCACTCTTGTAGTCACACTGATAGCGCCACTCATGTCGGCCATGCTTGAAAGTGCTTCGCCGCGAAAACCAAGCCACTTCCCTCCTACATCTCTCAGATCCTGCAAATCGCGAATCTTGCTGGTGCAGTAGCGGCGGCATACGAGCGGCCGATCTTCGCCTGGTATGCCGTGGCCGTCGTCCTTGACTTGGATCGAGTCGATAGTATTGGCAGTGATATCCACAAAGATGCTTTTGGCGCGGGCGTCGAGAGCATTGTCAATGAGCTCCTTGACGACGGAACTAGGGTCGACAAGAACCTGGCCAGACCCGATCTGTCTCACTGTTGTGGGTGGAAGTGCAGCGATGCCGGGGACAGTGATGGTGACGGAAGCCTCCGCCATGCTCGCAGGGCGACTATGATTTTGAGAAATTGATACTCGGATAGAATGGATGGATGGATGTGTGGTTCATTGGTTCGGCGAGACTCAATGTGAGTCGTTGCCTCCATCGTGCCTACCTCTTCCAGCATACCCGTGTTCAAACAGGAAAGCGCCATCGAGACCTGCCACATCGAGTGCCTGGCCTGTACCGAGGTATGCCTTGCAGATACTTCATTTCTACTACTTACTATGTAATATACGTGAGTATTGGTAAACGCCGTGCTAGCATGCGTCATGGCATCCAAGCATGCTTTGAATGTAGCCAATCAGAGCGGGCAGCCTTGTGATGCTTGTGCAGCGTCTGTAAGTACTTTAAGGGTCGCTACCCCCCAAGTATTCAGCATACTAACCAGAGATCCTTGAGATGACTGAAGATGCTCGAAATCTCCAAAGTCCATGAATTCATCCAAAATTCTAAAAGTCATTCTTGATCCTCGTATTTATCCAACATTCTCGAACCCACCCTCAGCAAAGTCTACACGCCTCACCACCAGACCCCACCCCACCAAGCCCATCCATCCACGCTCAAATCCCCAAACATGGCCTACACAACCGACGCAGCACGGTGGCTCGCCTTGGCACTCCGCGACGCAAACGCAAACGGACACTTCATCTACTCGGTCAAATCCACACACATCTACTGCCGGCCCACATGCCCCGGCCGCCTCGCGCGGCGCGCAAACGTAGGTTTCCACGCAACGTGGATGGAGGCCGAGGCAGCAGGGTTCCGGGCGTGCAAGCGGTGCAAGCCCAACACGACGGGGGTGGTGGAAGATGTGCGGGAGCGCGCGGTGAAAAAGGCATGTGTATTGATTGAGGAGGCGCTGGAGAAGGGGGGCAGGAGGGATGCGAGCGCGTTGCGGCTGCGGGTTTTGGCGGGGAAGGTTAAGCTTACGCCGAGGTACTTTCATGGGATGTTCAAGGCGCAGATGGGCGTGACGCCGAGGGAATATGCGAGGAGGGCTGTGGAGAGGAGTAAGGCGTGTGCTGCTGTATCGACCACGACTACGACTGCGACTACGGCCTCTGTACCGACCATGACGGCCGAAGCAAGTGCTCCGTCTTGGGAAGAGGAGAGCATGGATCCCAGCAATTTAAATGACTTGGGATTTGATTCAAGTCTGATCAGCATGGATGAATTCGCAATAGTCCAGGATCAGCCATGGACGGTAGATCCCGACCTCGCATTCAACGCGACCGGCCTTTTTCAGCCTTGGACTGCGGGATATGAGCCAGCTCAGAATGACACATGGCAACTCGCTCACGACAGCCACATCTCCGACTCTCTCCAGACCACGTCACTAGGCACGGTCTACTACGAGAAGGCGGTGCCATCCATGTCGGCGCTTGAGCTGAATGCTGCAGCACTGCTCAACTACGACAGTCCAGACCTTCTACAGTTGCAATCTCCGTAGCGCCTCATCGCCGTCAAGGGCAGACGTCCGTCATCCTTGTAACATAGCCACCTGCAATCAACCCAACGGCTCTTCGACGGGACTCGTCATCCTTGGCCAGCCCATCGACCGAGGCGCGTGCACCACTTGTAGCTGCGATCATCGGTGAGCTCCCAGTGTTGCAAAAGGAAAGAAAACCCTGTTCTTTACATTGTCAGCACAGGCCCTGCAGCGAATATCCACATTGAGTGCGAAACGACGAAGCTCTTCAGAGACCAAGTTATAAGCAGCGACGGCGTAGCATATGTCGATGCTAGCCATACCTTTTCCGGCTCTTCCTAAATAATTATATGGTCGATGTACGTGTCATCTTTTGAGCAGTGCGTGTGTGTGCGCGCGCGCATCGACGAGATGGGTGCTTTGTAGGAGACTTTGTTGGGAACGTACCCTGGATCATGTGTGCTGGGAGCTGGGGCTGCTCGTTAGCGGACGTGGGTTTCAGTGTGTCATGTTCTAGACTCCCCGCGTGGCATCGGAGGATTGGATGCGTGGCTGGCGCTGTGCGACGTGTCCATGGCGTGGTGTTGCAAGAGGGTGCAAGTAGCTTGCGAGGATGAAGAAAAGTTCTAGGGCTCGGCGAAAGATGCAAAAGATGCCGATGGGGATCCACTTGGGCGAAGCGAGGCGCTAACTGCATTCGTCCAGGGTCATGGAGAGAGCATGAATCAGGTCATGTAGTTGGTGGAGGAGCATCTGGGGTCCAATAGGCTTTTCCAGTACTACGGCGTGTATTGTTCCATCATGATCTCGAGCGCATGTATGCATTTCAGCTGGGCGAGCTTCAGTGTGCTTGGCGCCAAACCCCCTCACGAACCAACCGCCTCCCAAGCACTCAAGGGATCCGCCCAGATCTCCCAATGGCCAATCCTGCCCTCGTGATCAAACTCGCTGAAGCGGTAGATGAAGTGCTCGTCCCACGCCTTGCCCGTCTTCCTGCTCGTCAGCGTGCCCTTGCCGACTACGCTCACCATGTTTGCCTCGGCATCGACAATGAAGCCGTCCTTTCCGGGGAACGCGTCACTGGGCAGCGACAGGTCGAGCACCTGCGACATCATCTGGAAGTAGTCCTCACACTGGCGCGTGCCTGTAAACGTCTTGGCGAGAAACGGCAGGCGTGATTGCGCCCATTCGGGGCCGTGCTCGGTGATCTTGGGCGTGGTGCCAAAGTGGCGTGCAAGCAAGTCTGACGGAGGGGGTGGCGACAGGAGAGCGCAGCAGACGTCGCTCTGGTGCTCACCATGACATGGCCATGACTTCACCCACCCCCACCACATCGAGGCCATGGCAGCCATTACATGCCTACCTGCAGCCCAGCCCATCTTCCATCTCACCACTGCAACCACCACCACTACTACAACCATTACTACCACCACCGTCACCCTACACCTACAGTACATAACACCCTGGCTTCTAGCGGACGTCTGCTGCATCGAGGAACATTTCCTTGCCGTTCGCACCCCCGACCGCTAAAGTCTTACACACGTCGCTAGCCGGCGCCCACCGCATCGCCAAACCGCACCGACAGACTGTTAGCTCCCCCAAACGACGGATCAGCCGCCCTCGACACACGCCACAACAGTCGCCGTGGGTCGAATCAGCGCACGGCGCAGCTGAGACGGGCAGGCCGCTCCGCCCTTTGAACGCACACCAACACAGGCTTCGAGTCGCACGTGCACGGCTTACCAGCACCCTCTAAGCACTACTGCTACCACGTCCATCATCGCCCTGTCCATCTGCCAGACCCCACCACCCCCCCCCCTCAACAACTACTACCACCACGTCCATTGGCAACCCTCCTCTCCCCGTCAACACCATGTCGTCAGTTCGCAGCGCCTCTCTACGCGAGACAGCACATTCCTGCTGCTGCTGGATGTGGATGTGGATGTGGATGTGGATGTGGATGTGGATGTGGATGTGGATGTGGATGTACTGCGCATTCTCTGCTCGCAGCTCGCATTCGTCTGAGTGAGATGGAGCGTGTGTGGGTGTGGGTGCGGGTGTGGGTGTAGGTAGTCCAGCCCACACCAACCGCCGTTAGCAACCCACGCGCCGCCTACCCGCCCCCCGCCACCAATCACACCCAATGGCCCCTCTGCCTCCGTGTCATGCCTTGTACGTCAGCGAGGCTGTCATGCTGTTCGCAACGTTGTAAGCACATAACACACACACACACACACACTCGCTCACTCACACGCGCCGCTTACATGCAGCCTGCCAATATGCAGCGCCGCTGCCGAAAGCCCTCGCAATGGCTGCCGCGGAGATATTGCCCTGACTCAGCCGGCTTCTGCCAGCACAGGCATTCAGCATTCAGTACACACACACACACACCCCAAGGAATCCGCCATGGCATGCTGGGAATAAGGGCAGTCTGCAGTTCAAAGTTTGATGATGATGATGCTACTAAAACGTTAAAGCGCCGGGTACTCAATCGTGGTATCTTACACCGTGTCTCACGGTCCTGTAAACGCCGTATTGCTGCTGCTGCCAACACTGCCAAGCCCTCTGGATTCAACAGATTCTAGAAACCTTCGTGTCCATGCCGTGCGTCCTTGCGCCCTAGCCCATGGCCGTGAAGAGGCAGACCTGCCGCGCCATCTGGCTCGCCAGCAGCATTTCCCGAAACACCTGGTCCATGCCGCCTCGGAAGTGGATCGTGTAGCTGTCCACCTTGCCCTTTCGCCGCTTCTCCCCCCACACGAGCTTGACTGGCATGGCATCATCGCATCGCTTGCCCGTTCGGCTGCCCGGCTTGGCCCAATCCTTTTGGTACTCGTACAGCGTCTCTGGCATGGCGTCGTCGTTGGGGTCGCCTTGCTTCCACACAAAGCGCCGCCCGCCATACGCAAAGCGTCGCGGGGACCACGGTGCCTTTTGCTGTCGGTCGGGGTACTCCTTGATTGGCTGCGAAAACGGGCCGCGCAGGTGAATGCATCGCGACTTGTACGCCGCGTCTTTGGACGAATCGCTCGTGATGCGCTTTTTGTCGATGCCGGAAAGCAGCACCGAGATGCACGGGTGCGGGAACTCGGCCACGCGGAAGAAGTCTGCGGCATTGACTTGGCTGTCGTCGCGGTGCATGGCCTCGAGCATGTATAACGTGTACTTGTCCGAGTGGTCCCGCGCGCTGTAGATGTACTTGCGGTGGCCCGACGAGCCTTTCCATTCGCGCGTGCGGTGCAGGTTGAATGTCACCGTGGGCTGTGCTGGGTCCAGGAGAGAATGGTAGGGAATGTCTGTTGAGGGGAATTGGTCGTAGAGTGAATGCTGTGAGACTGGCGAGTATGACGTCTGCCATGTAAGAAGGTTTTGGATCTGCAACATGTCAGTCGTGTCGTGCCTATGCAAACAAGGCCGAGACTACCACGCACTGCAGACAGGCTCTCGCTCTCCTCGTCCAGGTCGCCGTTGGCTCCCCATTGGTTGGGCGCCGGGACAAAGACGCATTCGTTGCCCTCTTCGTCAATCTGGTCGCTGCCGCTCTCCAGGTGCGGCCGCAGTGCCCGCTGCCTCTCCCGGTGGATGGTGATTTGCGTCTTGATTATGCGCACGTGCTCGTCTGATATGCCGTCGGGCGAGATGCTCGTGTGGGCCAGCTCCATTTCGTGCTCGAGCGCCAGGGCGGCCGCCTCGTGTTGCAGGTACGACGTGTCGTATTGCCAGGCGTGTTCCGACTCAAAGGCAGAGCTCCTGAGCAGCTCGAGGTTCTCCCGTGATGTGACGAATGGGCGACCCATGGCGGGCAGTGTGCAGTGGTGCGAGGCGGCCAGGCCGAGGGCAGGGCGAGACGGAATATATTGCTGCAGGCGAAATCAAGGAAAAAGCAAGTGCAGCGGCCGGTGTGTGTTTGTGTGTTTGTGTGCGTGTGTTTGCGTGCAATGTTTCAACCTGGGCGCGGGGAGGGCCAGAAGGAATATCTTTGCATGCAAGACATGAGGGACGGCGGGCTGAAGGGCATAATCATAGCCATGCCTAGCGACCAGGCTGGCACCAGCTGATGAGGCAGCACCAGGGAAGGGAAGCGGGACGCAGTGCGCTGGAAGCTCCATCGCGCGCGCCGGCCCCTGTCATACCGACCTTTTGCTGCTGTGGCACTGGGGCGTGCTGCGCCGTCCTGGGGCCAAATTGCGGTGGCATGGGTTTGCGAGGCGCATGGCGCTAGCCCAATGGGGTAGTGCGAGATTGGGATTCAATGTAACGAAGCAGCCCGCCAGCCCTGCTGCAGCGCAAACATGCTGCCGCCGCCCAGCTGTGCATCGCAGTCGCCATCGCCGTCGTCGCCGTGCCCGTGGCGCTTCCGACAGCGTCTTGTGCCCCGCGCAGCATGCCATGTGAGGCCATTGCCCTGGACGGCCACGGGCGCCGACGCGAGGCGATACCCAGGCGGATCTATCTCGGCAGGCAGCAAAAAAGGCCTCCCACTCCCCCTCCACTCCCCCTCCACTGCCTCCCCCTCGCACTCCTCCCACGCCCGCGAACCAAGACACGCCAACCCAGGGTCGGGGGGTGGAGATTGGCATGGCGCCACACGCTTTGCGACATGTCATGCGCGCTCCCCTACCACGACACTACAGCCTGACCCGACCAGTCTCACCGGCCCTGGCAACTGTACTATTACCACCAATGCCAATACTGCCCAGCTACACACCCAGTGGCAGTAGCACCACCTATCGGACTCCGAAGGCGCCTGTTGCCTGTTGCCTGGCGCTGCTGCATCCACGCTTCTTCCCTTATCCACGCCCCCATCACCGCGTCCTGGAGAAGCCTTCACCGCACCCGACACCAGTCTGCACGCCGCCACATCCTTCTTACGCAGGGTAACTGCGTCGTCGGGCTGAGGGAATGCTGCCCGCCATGCCCGCCATGCGCGAGAGCCCATATCTTGGGGTTTGGCGGCTGACGGGCTGGCCCCAAGTACCCCACATGGGTCGCCTCGCCGGGGCGCTCGCCATGCCCATCCCAGATAAGAGTCGACCTCCTCTTCCTCATTGCCGCCCACCCTGCGCCGTCTTCGCTGCACCGTACGGCAGGGCAGGCCAGATCGGCAGTAAGCGGGCGGCTACAGGCACGGGTTTGTAGACGACACACCAACACGGACTTGTACATAGACCCGGAGGAGGGGGGAGGGGGGGGGCTTGCCAACCGCTCGTTTGCATTTGCGGGCATCGCCTGGGCCCAGCGGTCGTGGTCGCGTCGGGAACACAGTGCGCCAAGCGCGCCTTCGCCATAGGCACATCTTGGACCCGGATGGAAGAGTCGGATTCTCAAGGTTTTCCTAGCGCTCGCCAGCACGGCATCGAGGCCGAAACGTCGCGGCGCCCTACCGTGGCAATGAGCACCACGCCGTCGGTGCGCTGGACCACACTATCGGATCCCGCAATGCCCGCCGACTTCCTCCTCCACGCGTACACCATGGTCCCGCGGTGACGGCTCCAAGGACCGCCCTTTTAGGCTCAATCCAATGTGGCTGCCTCCCGACGAGCCTTAACGCCAAGTAGTATTGGGCCACCTGCACATCATTCCTCCTCCTGCCGCCACTGTATCACTCGAGTCCTCCGCCCTCACAACCCGCCTCTGAAAGAGCACTTTGGCCAGCCCAGCACGCTCCAGGATGATGTGTCCTCGAGGACGGATACTGCGGCACCGTCCTTTCTCCGGCACCAAGGGTGCAATACGAGCATACAACGGAGCCGCAAACCTTTTACCAGAACCCTGCAAACCCACGCTGCGTGCCAATTTCGTCGGCGAGCCCGTCGGCGAGCGGTAGCAGCATGGTTCACCGCTCGGCTGCATTACAGCACTGCTTGTGCTACTCAATGTGGGTGTAGATAGTTACACTATGGCCATGCGATGCAAGGTACGTAGCTTTGAACCCGAACCCGAAGCTCTGGACGCGTCAACAAACCCTTATGTGGGTGCAATATCCCTGTCATTCAGCTCACCAATATCACAAACAGCAAATGCCAACCCCTTGAAAACATGGTTCGACGGCAACTGAAAGTCTAGCAAGAAATCCCATGTAAACAGCAGCTATCATCGAGTGCTGTAACGTACCACAGATGGCAATACATGTCAAAAGAGCGGATCGCTCTCCTGAATCGGCGCCAGATTGCCCTTGCCCTTGAACACCTCGACGATATCCGCCTGCTCACTCAGCATGAATCTCGATGTTTGTTTTCCCACACCCGCGAGGCCCCTCCATCTCTCCAAATCCTCCCTGTTCCGCTTGTCACCCAAGGCTTCTGTGGCCCTCTTCCAATGGCCCTCTGAAAAGGCAATCATCGTCGTCATCTTCTGCTCCTTGATGTCATAGACAGCAGACACAACCGTGCCCGTCTCCTCGAGCCAATTGATTTGCCAGAGCTCACCAGCACGGATGCACTGGTATGTTGCTCGTTGGTAGTTGGTCCGGCCTGCCATGGGTCCGCCGTGGATTGCATAGACTACCCGATCAGAAGAGAAGCACCAGAGCTCGTACCGCCATTTCTCAGGGTTGCCGTTTTCGTCTTGCGCGTCGTAGTCGTAGATGAGGTGCGTGTCAAGTACATCCTTGTCAAAGCTCGCATCCAGAGCCGTGTTTGTGAGGAAGTCGGGTAAGCTCTCGCCTACTGCCATAGCTGCTGTATTACGTTTGTATTTTTCGTTTACGAACTTTTTGATGTTTCTGCAAGTACCTAGCTGTGTACCTTGTATTTTGTTTTTACTTTTATACCGGCATGCAGCGGAGTCGATGACGTACTTGGCAATTATGGTGACGTGCCCTGGATTTTCGCCTTCTTTTTGGCGCGCCATTGTCTATACCTAGAATACACATAGATGCAATCGGCCCGATTTCTCAAGTGCGCGTTTCGTCGCCATTATATCACAGCCACGGCAATGGTCGATATGAGGTCAGTGCAAGCAGTGGATGTTGAACGATGTGGCTTTCAGCCATTACCGCTTCTGTATCTCTCACTCTAGGTGTGGTCAATGACCAGGTAGGCCTTCGTCTTCTCATACCCTGTTTTTGTGATCAAGGTATCATCAGGAAGGACGACTGAGAAGCCACCAAGGTGAGCTTTTAGTACCCCTTTGACTTCAATGGCCAAGTTGTTCATAGGATGTCTGAGTTTTTACGCATGTACGCTCGTGCTCGTCTGTCTAAGCGAGTCCAGATTGATACCATTATTCCATAGCTCGAGACTTCCAATGTCAAGCCCTTGTCGCACCTGATCACAAGCATGTATCCTTGTCCTCATGACTCTCCATCTTCAAAGAATCGCAAGAGTATATGCATCTAGGCTGACAAATGCATTGTGGGGTGCCTAGTGGTGGGTTATCCATAGTCAGTTGCAAGATGATTACTCAACACTGTAAACCTTGTACATGTACGGAGGTGCCTCACAAAAGTTTTGTCCCACGCTAATCTCGGCGCTTCGGCATAACTCTTCTTGGCGCAACTCCCACCTTTGAGCTGAGTAGCTGTACGATTTGTCTGTATCTATCGTTACAATGTCTCCTAATACTGATCCTTACACCCGCACCTTAATTGTGGCGTTAAAGTCACCTTCTGTTGGCAAGTCTACATCACAGA